GGATATCAAGTCTCTCTCCAGGGGCAGAGAAAGAACGTCCTTTGGTGATCATATGCGGTCCGTGGCTGATCGTAACACCGTCCGCAATAGTGGAAGACCAATCTTCATCCTATTGACTGTGTTCTCCTGACAAAGGATCTCTGGTATTTTCCAAATTCCAGGTGACCCTGTTTCATCGTCGGGGAAAGTATCGAGGGAGAAATCCGCCGATGCGCCCAGGGTAAGGAGATAGTCCAGTAAGCTTGGGTTAATTGGTGGACCCGGGGCGATACATAGAGCAATGGTATTGTCAAGCCATGGGCCTCGGATTTGGAATTTCTTGAGCTCTTTTGACGCCAGTAGTTGCCGAAATGAGACAAGGTCCGAAAACCTTAGTACTTTTCGTATTGTATATTGGAAGAGGCAATGATGTGATTGATCCAGCGCGTAGTCTATCAAGACTGACCAGTGTTGTCGCTCGGAAGCCCAGGGTAACCGGACGAGGTATGCCTTTTCTTCAAATATAGTGAGCCACATAAGGTACTCTCTGGTATTCCCCTGAGTATTGACGAAGCGGGTATGTTGCAACCAATATTCCCTGGCGTAAGGGAGGAGGCATTTCAGTATGTCGTCTTCTTTTGAAAATTGGGCTTGGTGAAGAACGTTCAAGATGTTCAACCCTTTTGGTACCGATTTCGGTTGTTTACCGTTTCTGATATGCCTTATGAGATGAGTAAAAATTGGACTGGAGGATTTCGCAGCAGCCGCTGCACTGTCCACTATTCTTTTGGCGTCAACATTCCTGGTTGTGGCAATCCGTGTATCGAATATACCGTAGCTTAGGTACGTGGTGCAGATTAAGCCCATGGTTTGTTCTGCTTCTTCCAACCATGATACCCACAAGGGGCTCTGTTGACTGGGTTCGGACTTGGCCAAGTATGAGACAACGCTATGATGAATATAGCGTACCTTGCCGTCCTCTTCGTCCATCTCAAGCAGAGTTCCACCACAACAGCTGACAAGTTGTCGGGAATCGTGCGGTAGTTTACCGGACTCCCAAAAAGTATTCCCGGGTTGCACTGTCAGAACAACCTTCAGCTGGTCAACCGTCAATGGTTCAGCAGCTGTTGCAACCAATCCGAAGATCTTCATGCCATAGCGCTTATCTGATACCCTTGCAAGAGCTTGATCGAATGCTTCGGGTAGACTGTTGGGTAGGTTTCCGAGAATATCGATTACGGTTTCATCTGTGGTGATGATGTTTTGGCGGGAAGGGGATATGGCCTCCAGTTGCAGAGAGACCCAAAGATACCTATTGAGAACACGTTCCTGTATTAGAGAAGGTACATTGACAAAAGAGTTGATGGTGAGGGTTAAGTCATACATTCCCTGGGCTCCAGTAATTAGTTGCTCTGCTATCTGTGTTTCCATGTCAGGCGGAAATGCCAGTTGTCGCAGAGAATTCCTGACTTGAACTTCGGACCATATGTACTGGTGCAACTCGGATTCTTTTGACAAGCTGTTTAAGGAAACCAAGTAAACAGACGTAAACGATGATCCAATCAGAGGCAGCGTATGAGACAATGATCGTTCCGAGAGGCATAAGGATAGGCGAAAGGTTGACTGAAGCCCTAAAAGCGTCTGGATTGTGTCGTCCACCTCGATATCAGGGCACTCTTCCAGTCCGTCGATGAGCAAAACATATTCTTGCTCCTTCGGTAACAGCGAAGGCAACATTTGGAGAACTGAGTCGACCGTTACCGTACCCACAGGTAATAAACATCCGTCATCCAACGAGTCCCAGTGACAGGCTGTGAGATTGTTGAAGATCAGCTGATGGAGTATGCTCCCGGCAATGCTATTTCGGGTCTGCGTCCGTGGATCGTCGCTCTTGCAAAAGAAAAGAGCACACCCTCCTTTCCGACCAGTGAGATCTGCAGCAATATTGGCCATACCTACTGTCTTTCCACTGCCAAGATGCCCGGTAAGGCGAAGTAGTGCCGAGGTGGCTGATTTCCATGAGGTGTAGTCCGGATCACTCAGAAGCCAGGCGCAGTTTCCTCTTTTTCTCTCACGACGGAATATCAAGTCGAATGAGTCCTGGTTGGGCGACAACGAGGTCAATAGCCGTTGTTGGCTCTCCAACAGCAGCTGGTGCCTCGAGCTGGCTGAAATAAGTCGACTCAGACGACGGTAGCCTTTGCCACGGCTCCTTGTCCTTCAAGGATCGTCTTAGTCGTAAGTGCACCAAACGGCTTCTCGATAAGGAGTCCCCACTGGTCGAGCTCTTGTTGCAATGGAAGAAACTCAGCCTCAAATGAGGAAAATAGGGATGATGCCAGTAGCATGACAGGCGACCTTTGTGAAAACGCTAGAATCTGTTGACATAAGCGTACGATGCGGATGAGATATTCGGCCAGGTACGTCTGGAGCTCTTTGGAACGTGGAAAGTGCTGGACGAATTCTTGGGTGATTGTCCATGAGGTGGTGAGACGCATAAGAAGAGTCGAAATCTGATCAAAATAAACGTGATGGTGGCCTTTTGTAGATTGAGAACGACTTCATGTCAGTGTTGCCCATACGAATTATGGGACTCGCTGGACTGGGCACACAAACCTCGAGCATTGCTCTAACTGTCGCCCAAACACCCGACGCTATCAGGTTCTGTGACCCTCCTATCAATATGTCCCCAAACGTGGCAAATTGCTGGATGCGTCGAAGAAAGCCACCAATCCTCGTCCCTGCTGCTGGTCTCCAAGCTGCGTATCTCCTCGCACCCTCACCATTAAGCTGCTCAGTGAGTGTGATGACATCTGCGGGTGAGAGAGGACCGGTTTGCGTGAGTTGAACTTGCAACTTTTGGTACGCTTGCCTCCCAGCGATGTCAAGACACTGCGCGAATTCCGAAATTGCCTGTCCAAGACGAACCTCAGCTGAGAGCTGGGGATTTCCCGGCAGCACGACCAAGGACGCGCCTGACTGAGTTCGTGGCATGAGGACCAATGACCAATGATTCTTCAGGAGAAACCGGAAATTGTGCGCTGGAAGCCAAGCGGCGACTGAATAGCCACCCTGGGTTCAATTTGGAACAGATGCGTGGAACAAAAGGACGGTCGGCCAAAGTCGAATCTTGATAAGACTCTAGCAGTCTAGCTCCTTCTGTCGTCAGGTGTCTGGATAGCTGGTGAGGAGGAAGGCACGTGAGCACGCTGTACCACCCGAAATCCTGTGTTTCATCATCGCCGCTTTCCCTTTCTAGGCCCATGCCACCCGCGCTTTTTCGTTTGGACATACTTGAAGTGCATCATTGCAGCTGACCGCAGTTATTCCACTGAACATGAAGCAGGTACAGCGAAACTCCTCACTCTAAGTGGAAGGGAATCTGTCTCACGGTATAGTCAGGAGTCAGGACGGAAATTGAACTTCAAACTTGTCGAAATGACATATTCAATTACGCTCTCTTCAAAATTTTGCCAGGACTGGAAACTCACCATCGGCTGCTGTGGCATCGATACCGGATCTTTTGATTCGAGACTGACAAAGATTCCACTTCACGCACATCAAATCGATGAATATATGAGATGCCTGGCATTGTTATGGATGACCCGCAAATTGATTCGAGATCGGCATCAACTCTCCATATGTTTTTGCAAAGTCCGGGGGAGTCTTGACATCACACAAGTTTTACCCAAAAAGACCGGGCCATCCAGCAAGTCCAGCCAAGGGAGCAGTTCAACAACTGAGGTCAAGGATTTCCCACCAATAGCGGTCGGGTCATTGAACTGTATGGAGGTAACTATAGGGTACCATCATTAGCCTAATGGTCATCCATCACGGGGTAGACGGCAGTATATTAGTACACATGCCTATCTCCCCATAGTATGCTACATCTTATAACACCGTCCTAGAATCTTTGGACCTCAAATAACGGCTTGGCTATACTTGCGATATACCAACCATCCCCGAGACCTAGGTCAACCCAAGCTCAAGACCACCATGCAGCTTCACACCTTGACGACATCCCTTTTGCTTCTTCTCACTAGCGATGCAGCCCCGGTAACAGCACATCCTTCCCCTGTGAGCAAACTCCCAACCCAGGGGCCGGAACTCAACTTGAAGCTAGTGAGACAAGCCTCACAAACAAGCAAATACTGCGCTCCCCAATCATCAATCTGCTACCTCCAATATGCCACCACGTCCGCCTCTTACCCAGTTTTCCGCATCGCCGTACCAGACGTGACCTCCGCCCCGTTTGAGACCATCCTCCAAATCGTCTCACCCGTCTCACTCGGATGGGTCGGTTTCTCCTGGGGCGGCGGTATGACTTCCAACCCTCTAACCGTAGTCTGGCCCAACGGAAACACCGGAAAGGCAACCGTCTCGTCTCGCTGGGCAAAGTAAGTCCCACTTAACACAAACAGTCTTATACAGTCCGGCACTGCATCTCATTCCATCCTCCTCCAATACTCCATTAGACTGACTCATGATATCGTACATGGTAAAGTGGCCGCACTCTACCAAGCACATACAGCAGCGCAAGCTACAAAACTCTCAGTTCCTCCAAAAACTCAACCCACTGGACCATCGAAGTCGTCTGCACAGGCTGTAGCAAGTGGACGGGCGGACAACTGAGCGTTAATGGCAACACCATCAACACTTTCGCCTGGGCATATAGCAAGACTGCGGTGCCCCAGCCCGCCAATCCTTCCAGCAGTTTCAGCATGCACAACAATGTGGGCATGTTTTCGGATAATTTGAGCGCGGCCAAGGTCCCGCAGGCTACCTTTCAGGAGTACGTCAAAAAGGCGGGACTCTGACTACAACTTTGAAAATGGATTTGGCCTTTTGTAGTGGATTTTGCGAGTCTTTACTTGGGTTTGGAATAGGAACAAAGATCCAATGGTGGAATGTCGGATTTAGCTAGCACTGGGATGCAGGCAGCACATAAAAAGGAAACAAGAGTTCATACTTGGAAAAAAAGCAAAAGAAAGTGAATGGAATCCATCCATATAGCAAAAATATGACAAGAGTGGGATTCGAACCCACGCCCTTTCGGACCACGGAATTCTTTCTCTCCATTGGGGAGGAGAGAGGAGAATGTTATCAAGGTAGACCTTAACGTGGCGCCTTAGACCGCTCGGCCATCTTGCCTTCTAATTCGCTGATATTCGTCTTTCCCCGTACTGTGGGTTGAGAATGGGGCTCTCGGCAAGTGCTAGGTGGCTTCCCTAACGACCGAAATGGAACGTTGAGCGGAAAGAGTGGAGTTTGTAAATTTTCGATATGAGCATGACTCGTGAGGTCCAACATCATGCTGCTCGATTGAGTTTCAAAGTAGAGAAATGAATCAGTCTTTTACCGGGCAGAAATTATGAGATGTCATATTGAGTGAAGATGTGGGAGCTGTGGACAGAATGATCTTGAAGTTGAAAAGTAGGCGACCACGGCATACTTGCCGGGGACTCGGTCCCCACTGACCCGGAGTTAGGAGATGGGGCTTGTTTGAGTTGCTCGGAGGATCATATCAAACATCCCATACGCCGCAGACTTCCAATGAGTTCTAGAAAAATCCCCGAACCAAAGGCTGCCTTGGTAACGGCGTGCAAAAAAGCTGGGGAAGCGGGCCCGGATAAATCCAAGGTACATTCTGTTGATCACCATGCCAGTTTGGCAGCTCGATCAATATCAGCGTGGCTTGGCATCGATATCAACAAGGTCCATGGAAGTCGTCGATCCTATCATTATGACCATCCTTTGATGATGTGGAAGATGTTTAGAACTTTGAACCACGAAAGGAGAGTCATCTCACTTGAGATTTGATTTTCGCAACCTGGAGAAGACACTTCCTGACTTGGGCACTTCGCATTTGTGTTCAGTCCAAGGTTTTCGTCGCCTGCTTCGTCATGCCCCGTAGAAGGGAGTACCCAGACACGTCGGTGATGGTGGCGCCGCCTCAATATATGCCTAGGCTGATCCAAATGAGACCTCTGCACCCCAGGTCCGTGCCATTGTCCTGGGAATTGGTTATGATGGAGCTCTCGGGCGACGGGATGCCTCGGGTCGGGGTAGCTAGATATATTCGGTGTGTTATATCCCGAGAGATGAGGCAGGCACCGGCAAGATATCAGCAGCAAGAACCGCGCTGAGAAACCCAGTTCGAGCTGACCTGGTCGCTTGAACAGGCTTGTGCAGAAACATATATCGTCTAATCCGGAATAATGCGCACCAGAAGGCAGCTTGTCGTTGCTGCTCTCGCCACCTCGGCCGTGGCGACGCCTGTCGTCGAATCCAGACAGGCGGGAGGCTCAATCGACTGTGCGCCTATCCCTTCGCCGTTTCCTTCCTGGTCACAGTACCCAGTCCAGTCGTCACTGCCCGACCCCTTCCTTCCTCTCAAGTACACGACGACCGACAATGCAGCGGGATCATCGACCTTTGCAAAGGACATCATGACAGGCAAGGGCCAAGGCCGGGTCAAGACCCCAGAGGAGTGGTACAAGTGTCGGCAGCCCGAAATCCTCCAGTTACTCCAAGAGTACCAGTATGGGTACTACCCTGACCATAGCCAAGAGAAGGTCGAGGCTACTCGCAGCGGGAGCACTGTCAATATCGCCGTGACAGCCGGCGGAAAGACTGGAAAGTTCAGGGCAACATTGTCGTTGCCTTCTGGGGCATCAGCCTCGAAGCCAGCACCGGTGGTGATCAACATCGGAGGCATGCAAAATGCTCCTTACTTGAACGCAGGTATCGCCGTCGTAGGGTTTGACTACACTTCCGTGGCCGCGGATAGCAACTCCAAGACTGGGGCGTTTTGGGACCTCTACAAAGGTCGAGACATTGGTTAGTACACACAAACTCGAATGCCCTGCTGAACCGATGAAATGATATCAACTGACTTGACGTTGGTGGTGTGGCAGGTGTGTTGACTGCTTGGGCCTGGGGCTTCCATCGAACCCTCGATGCTCTCAACATGACGGTCCGAGAGATCGATCCAGACAGAGTAGGCGTTACCGGATGCTCCCGTCTCGGAAAGGGCGCACTCGCAGCCGGGCTATTTGACAAGCGCATCACATTAACGATGCCCATGTCGTCAGGTGTCCAAGGCATGGGGCCTTACCGATACCATGGGCTGAGCGGACAGGACGAGACGCTCGAAAACAGCAAGCAAGGGGCTGGATGGTGGAGCAACAGCAAGCTGGGGACCTTTGTGAACCACCACGAGAACCTGCCTTTCGATGCACATACCATCGCAGCAGCCATTGCACCCCGCGCTCTGGTCATCGACCAAGGAACTGGCGACCAGTTCACCGACAGCAAGGGGACTGCCATTGTAGCATACCCGGCGGCCAAGGTGGTATACGACTGGCTCGGAGTGGGCGATAAAATCGGCATGAGCGTCCGCGGCGGAGGACATTGCGACATGAGTGGATTGTGAGTTCTTGCAGTTCCGGATGACTTCCCTCTGCCAGGGTCGTGCTTTTTTACCGGCGTGCTTCTTGCTGACCGAGATGATGGATGCTAGCTCTTCAATCTTGCCATTTGTCCAAAAAGTCTTTTTCGGCACGGCAACCACCAAGAACTACAACGACCTCGGGACGTACAAATCGCCGATGACGACGGCATTCCCATGGGCCACTGCGGTTCCCAAACTGTGATGTTCGTTCTTTGTGTCGGGTACAAAGTCATGGGCTCAATTGAAGCGTGCAGAAGATGGATCGTGTCAAATGTCAAATAGAATATTGCGACATTATTGTTCGATGCATTCCCGAACAGAATGGGGCTTTGTCAGTGATCTTCGCGTTCCAGTGACCTTGTCCACCGCTGTTTGCATTGTTTGGGCGTGCTCCACTGCCTGACCGTTCCCCACAGTGACTGTCACCTGCCAAATTTGTTTTCCATCCTCGTCAGGGGCTCCCGTTCCCCAGGCTTGGCATTATGCAGGTTACTGCCGTCGGGTGCACAAGCTGGGTATGTACTTACTGTACGTGCTGGGGTAACTACAGCTTTTTAACGGCAAGAACGGCAGCCAAAACCCCTATAACCGGCTGGAGATGGAACCCTAAATCCCACTACAGCTTTCAATCATCAACATCCATCCATCCAAGCACACCGACCACACATGCACCATCACTATATTTATACGACACAGACACAGCCGCGCATATTGTAGGAATAACGTCATGATAAAGCATTTCTCGGAATCAACAAGAGAATGGAGTCGCTCATCGATTACAAGGCAATTGGTCAGTCAACCCAGCTTACCCCAGATTTCCCGATCCCACAAGGTTTGGCCAATTGCCGTTAGACCGGCGCGTGGATGTAAAAATGGGATGTGAAATCTGTCAGTATTCTGAATGGACACTGAGAAGACTCTGGTTAAGTTGTCAAGGAGAGAGTGATTAATACCCTAATAAAAGAGCTAGAAGAGTATACCTGATCTTCACATACCATTTTTACACCCGCGTGACCGGTACCACCCACCGGCTCACACGCAACTCTGCCTAATAAAGCACTTCCCAGTTGCTAACATCTACTATGCTGCCAGGGCCCGTTTGGTCTTCTATCCCAACCGAATTGCTCGTATCTGAGCTCTCGAAACGCGTAGCTGAGTTCTCGAAACGCGACGATGTCAAGTCACGACCAGAATGCGGCTCCGGAGAGCTAGGGGCATATAACATGGGCTTGCATGTCTTTGCCTTGTTCCTGGTGCTGGTCCTCAGCACTACATGTACGTGCGGTCATCCACGTAGACGACTTGTACCGAGCTGTTCGGTTCCATGCTGACTTCAGGACCTGAGACAGTTTGTGCAATTCCCATCATGTCTCGTGGATCGGATGGATCGAGCCGGTCCGGTGTTGGCATCAGAAAAGAGATCCTTTTTCATTGTCAACATTTTGGGACCGGTGTCCTTCTGGCAACTGCCTTTGTCCACCTTCTGCCGACAGCCTTCACCTCGTTAACAGACCCTTGTCTTCCTCACCTTTACAGCGAGGGATACCGGCCGCTTGCCGGGTTGATAGCGATGGTGTCTGCGCTCGTGTTTGTCGCCATCGAGTCCTATCTACACCTGAGAGGGGCTGGTCATTCGCACGAAAGTGGAGATGGCCTCCCGACAGATAGTACTGAGCTTAGGGAGAATGAGGCGTCCCAATCATTAATCGCGAACGCTGCTCCTATTTCCCAGTCCACACCAAATCAGACGTCTAGTGGAGCGCCAGGCAGCATATCTGGGGAGGAGGAACCGGATCACGATGTTGAAGGAGCTCGCCTTATGAGCGGTAATGTCGGGGACCCTTCTCAAGAACCGAATCAGAGACCATTCAAGGCAGACTCGAGGTCTGGGCAGGGACCCGATGTAATCGCCCCGAAATCCGAAGAGGAGAAGAAAAAGCTGGAGGTCCAGTGTTTGCTTCTGGAAGCCGGTATCCTCTTCCACAGCGTCTTTATTGGAATGTCTCTGTCAGTTGCGACCGGTCCTAGTTTTGTCCTTTTCCTTGGCGCTATTGCCCTTCACCAATGTTTCGAGGGTGTCGCCTTGGGCTCTCGGATTGCCGCCATTCAACACCCGAACTCAGCGTGGAAGCCGTGGTTGATGGTTCTTGCGTTTGGACTCACCACCCCGATCGGTCAAGCCATCGGTCTCATTGTCCGCGAGTTTTATGACCCGATGAGCCAGACGGGCCTTCTCATGGTTGGCTTTACGAATGCCATCTCCAGCGGTCTGTTGCTCTTCGCTGGTCTGCATCAACTTCTCGCGGAGGATTTTCTCAGCGACAAGAGCTACACGACCCTCCGTGGGGGACGCCGAGTAAGAGCGTTTGCGTCGGTTTTCGGGGGCGCTGCGCTCATGGCTTTAGTTGGTGCTTTTGCCTGAACTATCGCCGTCGTGTGTCGTCATGTTGTTTCCCTTCTTTATCTCATTTCACTACACTTTTTTTTTTTCATTCTTGGGTTTGTTTTTGAACGGAGGGCATCTCATCAGGTCAGCGCCATTGGGTTACCGGGCATTACCGGAGTTTATTATTCACCGCTCGCATTGTTTTGGTTCACGGTTAGACGATAGATGATATTCCACCACTTTGGTTGACGGTTTGGTGTCATGCGATGCAGCGGAGGTTACTTGCTAGGAATCAGCGCATAGTTAATATTT